AACTGTCAGTTCGAGATTCACTGTCAATCCGAACTGTTCAATCACCTGATGATTTTAAGCATTAGAAAATAAGTAATTCCGAAAAATAAATGTTACGATGTTTCTTACTTAAATATAATGCATGCTTCGTATCAAAGACGCATACATAATACGTCTACATGTACGAACTTTTGATATCAATGACATTTAAAAACAGCAAAATGCAAAATTGAAATAATTTTTAGAAATCATTTTTTTCATTTCTTTCTTTTCATCTTGTATTGCATTTTTTATTACAGCAATCGGTATCGTAATAAAAAAAGGACAAACTTTCCCAGCGATAAGAACAGGGAGCTCATCCGGGACGCAGTAAGGGGGTCAAAGGTTTCTGCTGGAGGAATGAATACAGCATACTTTCTATGAATGGACCTTGTCAAACATACCGATTTATGCTAACATTTTAAATAACTTTGTTGCACTTAATAATGTAACATGTGTTTTCTAATAAGAATTACAAAGTAACATGTCATAAATATGTGAAATAATCACTGTAAAAACAAAAATATATAAAACTAGAATTAGCATTACGCAAAACATAATAAAAACTTTATATAGAAGAAACTCTTAAAAAAGAAAATTAAAAAAAAATAATTTCAAACGTTCACTCATTTATTTCTAATAATTACATGTGCATTTTTCATTACATATTTATTTATAATTAATATTTATACTATACAGATGAGCGCTGCGCGCGCGTCATTTCTCTTTTGACACTATACATATATATTTCAATTAAATATAAAATTCGAAAATAAATTAATCGGTTCTATCAATTTATGTCGCAATTATGTACATCTATTTCGTATTGTAAACAGCTGTTGTCACATGAAGGAAATTACTTACATAACATATATATCTTCAATACTTATTGGTGATCAAATACTCCAAAGAAAATATTAAATAAAATATTTTCACAACTTGTAATCTTCTCATCCGTGACGATATTTATCAATAATATATATGACAGATATACAAACTCAATGTGTTATCTTGACTGTGATAACTCCTCACGAAATAAACATAATGAGAAAACCAATTGGTATCGTGAAAAAAATGACAATAATCGACATTTAAATATTAATTTAACATGCCCTTTTTAAGAGTAAATAATATTTACTATAAATTTATATGGAAAAAATATTTTTATAATGAAATTTATGACATATATTTATGATATAAATTTATATAAAAAGAAAATTTATAATAAAATGTTCTTTTTTTCAAATATTTCTTTTATAAATATTTATTTATTTGTTTACCTGTCTATTGTTTCATTCTATGTGTTTCCAAGTGTTATGTAAAGTATCCAACGATCCAAAACTCGACGATACACAAATTTTCTTGAAAAATCTAAATCGTTTATTTCTCCTTAATTATGTTTTCAGAAACTTCATAGAGAACGCAATTTCATATAAATAATTAATATCTAGGTGCAAATATATCAAAGTCAAGTATAAAAATTGTTTTTTTTTATTTTTTAACCTTATTTAAATTTAATCTTTCTAATATCTTTCTAATTATTATACAACAATTTTAAATTAGAAGATCATGAAAAATTAATAATTTACCAGAAAAAAATAATCTATTTTGAAATGCATTTTTATAAATAAAAATGGATGATTAATGTTTTAAGATTAAAATTTTAATGAATAAAAACAAAGCTAGTAAAAATCACCATTAGATTTGCAAAATTTGCAAAATAAAACAATTTATTTAAAAAAATTAGGTTACATGAGATGTAAAAGTTTTATTTTATAAATTAAGTTTTATTTTATAAATTCAGTTTTCTTACGTGCATAATAAATTGCAGTTAGAACATATTAAATAAAAGAAAATTTAAATAAGTTAAATTATTATGTTCAATATTTCGAATCTGAATTGTTTCGAAAGGCAAAAGTATGAGGTGCATAGTCATGAAGTATAAAAACAGATTCAAAGTCAAATAATAAAATAATATTATAGACCTTTACGAATAAGTTAAAATAAAATTAAAATCAAAATACTAAAAAACAATGTACTTCAATGCATGAAAGAAATTTAAACGAGTGTGTCAGTAGAAGTCATTGTTAATTTACGCGCGCGTGTATAAAGTATGTATAGTATAAAGTTATTATTATTCATAGAATAATTTTTACTTATTCCTTCAAATCCTACATAATATTTCTATTAATGCAATGTAAAGTATGTTTCTTAGAATATCTGTATTATTCAACACTGTTTTATATATCTCTGTTATCATATAATTAATAATTTATATTTTTTTCATATTACATAGTAAAAAAATTATTTAGAATAGAGTTTTTTTGTACTTATACAAATTTGTTACAGATTATATCACTTGCTCGATATTATATTTGAATTTTGTATTTTTATTGCGAAAATTTTTTGCAACTTGAATAAAAATAAAAATTAAATATAAAAATCTAATATCATTCGTTGCAAAAAATAATATGTAAAATAATATGATTTTAAAAAATAAAAATTCAATATATTATTTTATTCCGAATTCAGAATTATTTTGGAATAACAAAAAATTTGTAACATCTTTCTATTATCATATTAAATAAAAACTTTAATCAATATTATATGTAAAAGAAACTTACTATCATGATAAATGACACACATCCATTCATCTCTATTATTATAAATAGATTTATAATAATAGAGTCGAAATATATGAAAGCATTTAGCAAAATATGAAAGTGAAATATAATTAACGACAGGAGTAAAACATTTGAAGTAAATTTCTATAAATTTCGAGAATAAATCTTTGTCTATTTATTTATATTAAATTGTTTGCGTAAAATATTAAACAAAATCAATAAAAGAGAGCAATATAACTTATATCTTTCTATAAGATATATGAAAATATTTAATGCAAAATTAAATTAGTTGTAATAATTTGCTTTTTATAATTTTATATTTTATTATTTATATGATAACGATAAATCTATTCGATTTATACATATGTATGTACATATTTATATGAAAACAATATTGCTTCAAGTATTTATACTCTTGCCGTTAATCATATCGTTTTCTCATTTAACTTCGCGATATAACTCCATTTCTAGTGCCATTTACTACATTTACACGGGCACTATTCACATCATTATTATATCAATTGCAATAATTATGTATTGTAGATAAGATTACATATTCTAAACTGTCGTGCATAACATTTCAACTATATTTCTATTATATTAAACATCTAACGTACATCTACAGTTAATTAAGTAAAAGAAAAAATATAAAGTGAAATAATTTATACATCATTTACGATCAGATTTCTAATTGCACATAGATAAATATTTAATGTATACTTTACTATTTATTCAACAAAAATATTTTTAAATTATTACAAATAACATATTATTAAAATAATAATGTTACTATGTTATCTAAAGCAAATCTATATAATAATTTTCAAAATATTGTAAACTAATGACATGCGATTTTATATTTTTCAATTAACATAACAGCGATGAATATTCACAATGTAATTGTAACAAATTGCATCCAGAAAATGAAAACAAATTATGAGGAGCAAATCTAAAATACTCTCATTTATAATTTATAATAAGTATTTATAATAAAAGTATTCTACTTTTCTTTGTTTTTCTAATTTCATTTTCATTACATTCTCAAATATGTTATTATATTATAATATTATTTCGCGTACTTAGTAATGTTTGCTTCATAGATATATAAAAGATCAAGTGTAAATTAACTAATGTACAACTAATGTACAATTCATAATATAAAATAGTTTAAATCTAAATGTATCCGCATGCTATTATAAATATAATCGTAAGTACATTTTTTCTAACAGTGTAATTGTTAGATACTAAATATCTAGCTGAACTCTATTTAAAATAAATGCCATATAGATAGCGGAATAATCTTATTTTCAGGCACATAAATATTGCCGTTGACAACACAGTTGATATAACAGTAATAAATATCTATAAATGAAGCAAATGACTGTTTAGAAAATTTAAAGGACATATTATACTTATGTTACATTTAAACCATTAAATTTAAATATTTATTTTAGATCATAAATATATTTGATTTTATAATGTTTGAATTATATGTGAATTACATGTACATAAAATACATAATAAAATACAATGTGTATTATATGTGTATTTGTGGATAGGAAAATTATATATAAAATTAATTATTATATATACATTATAAACATTTTGTTACATATAATTTTAATTCTTTAGATTCGTGAAGAGTAAAATGTTCTAATTGATCTTTCCAAATCAATTAAGTGATCATATTTTCATATTTTCAAAAAATATTTATTTATTATCTAATCTTGTAAAAGTAATAAAACAAATTATAATAGAATTTCTTTGAAAGAATTTTCATCTTTTTCATTTTATTTTTCTAATCTTTTTAAGTTGATAGGTTTATGTATTTTTGTTGACAGTTTTATTTTTTATTTTTTGAAGAATTTAACTTTTATGTTTTATCACGTAAATCATCACATAAATTATTTCTAAAATTTATGATAACACAAAATATTTCGAAATATTATTGTTTGGGAATAAAATATATCTCAATTATATTTTATCAATACTTTATACATTTGTACATTGAAATCAAATTCTGGTATTTGATATGAAAATATGCTTAAATATAGAATTTACTTTTATTTTTTAAGCGACGCTGTTTGAAGAATCAGTTTTATTAAATAGTATTCGAACAATAGAAAGAATTTATAATATATCTAAAAAAAGATTTAAAAATAACATATATTTAATACATAATTGTTATATAATGAATCAAACGTTCGATCATTCCAGTTTTATTAATGAAAAAAATACTAATGCAATAATATGAATATATAAAGCATATGACAATTAATTATGTTATATCTACACAAGCAATTTATATTGACATAATATATTAGTCTGTTATATTAACAGCAATTGAACTATTCTCACCTAGTATAATTGGATCCATTGGAAAAACGTGTAATCCAACTGCCGTCGGCTACATAAAAGACGAAAGCTCCGTAATGTAGTGTTCCGTTTGTGGTTTTCAAAATGCATTCAAGAAGAACGGGCTAGTTTCGTTGGTAACCCTGTCATTTCGTTTTTACAATTCTAATGTCTTGTACACAGGACTTAAACCATACATATATATAGCGTGCAAGAATAAATTATAAATAATAAACAATCGAATGCAAGAAATGTACATGTTAAAGTACACATATAAATAATATTTTAATAATAAATAAATGTTTTTGTATTTCAGAATTGTAATAGAATTACAAAGATCGAGAGCTACAATTGCTTCTTTATCAATTGCATATGTATTAACAAAACAAAAGATATGTACAGCGTATGCGATTACTTTTAATGCTGTAACATAAATAACTATCACACACACCATTATAAAATCGATATCCGATAATCAAATTTTCCAATTTGCAAATATTTCATAAATTGCGAACGTCTCATTTTACATGCAACATGATATTATATGCAAAAAGCGCCGATATCCGATTATCCGATAAAAATTTGAATAAACACGTGTTCGATTGTGAACGGGAATAGGATCACACGTCTACGGCAAATCCAAGGGGAAATCGTAATAACGGTAAGTCAGTTACATAGTAATGACGGAGTTTACAGAGCACACTGAGTCAAATGAGGATAAATCATGAAGTTTCGTTTCCCGGCCTTATCAGATTTGCAGTGTTAGGTAGAAAAACGTGATAGTGATGCCGCATGATACGCGGCGAGAAGAAAGAGAACGAGCGTAAAAAAGGGAGAACTGTTCGCGAAAGAACTGTTGTACCGCACCGTATCGTATTTTGCGTATGTATGTAAGTAACACTACGAATCTTAGCATTGGCAGCTGAGCAGACAGAAAAAAGAAGCACAGACACGGTCAACGGCGCGCGGCTTGCCCTTCGCTGCCTCACTGACTGGAGCGACAGATTTACCAGAGCAGAAATAAGAAAATCCCTCTACGCCTCTTAGAGTACACACAGTGCCCGCCGGCCGCCTTGGTGTACAACGTTTCACGCACACACACGCACACACACACACACACACACACACACACACACACACACACACACACACACACACACACACACACACACACACACACACACACACACACTA